TACCCTTTGCACCTTTTCTATTTAACATTATCTATTATAACTTTTAGTCCTTATGTGCACTTTCAGTTTCTCACACTAGAGAAACTATTTGGCATTTACACATAAGGGTCATGTTTATTTCACTTAAGAGTATCGTCTCGATGTGCATCCATTTAGCTATGAATTTCTCTAGTTTCCCATTCTTTATGGCTGAGTAGTACTCCACTTTATAAAAAACCCCACATTTTATCCAGTCTCCTACTGACGGGCAAATGGTCTACTTCTAAGTTTTAACTATCACAAATTGTGTTGCTATGAACATAGGTGCACATATATCACTGTGGTATGATTCTTTTAATTCTTTGGAGAAGATACCCAGCAGCAGAATAGCTGGGTCAAATGGGACCTCCAATCCTAGTTCTTTGAGTTATCTCCATACTGATTTCCACAGTGGTTGCACCAGTCTACACTCCCACCAGCAGTCGAGCAGGGTTCCTCTTTCCCCACATGCCCACCAGCATTTGTTATTGGTTGATTTCATGGTAACAGCCATTCTTTCTGAGGTGAGGTGGAATCTGTGTTGTTTTCATTTGCGTCTCTTGAATGGCTAGTGATGTTGAACATTTTAAAATTTGTTTATTTACTGCTTTTACTTGCTGAGAAATGTCTATTCATTTCAGATGCCCATTTTTGGATTGGGTCTTTAAATTTGGGAGGTCTGGTTTAAGTTCTTTATATATTCTAGATAGTAGTCCTTTGTCTGAGGAACAGCTGGTGAAAATTTATTCCCACATTGTGGGTTGTCTCTTCACACTATTAGTGGTTTCTCTTGTAGTGCAGAAGCTTTTTAATAAGAAGAGATTCCACTTGCTGATTCTTTGCTAATTCTCACACAACTGGAGCTCTGTTCATGAAATCTTTTCCTATGAAAATGTCTTCAAGAATTCTACCCAAGCTCTCTTCTAGCCAGTTTAGTGCTTAGATCTTTAATCCATTTTGATTTTAGTTTACTGCATGGTGAGAGATATAGGCCTAGTTTTAATCTTTGGCAAGTTGAAACTCATTTTTTCCAGCACCATTTATTAAAGAGGATATCTTTCCTCCAGAGAGGGTGTTTGGCTCCTTTGTCAAAGATGAGGTGGCTGAGTGTGTCTGGAGTTGTTTCTGCATCTTCTAATCTGTTCCACTGGCCTATTTCTTTGCCAGTACCATGCTCTTTTTATCACAGTAGCTTTGTAGTATAGTTTCAAGTTGGGGATTTTGATATCTCCTACACTGTCTTTACTGCCTAGAATTGCTTTTGCTATTCTAGGTCTCTTCTGGTTCCAAATGAATTTTTGGATTGTTTTCTTAAGGTCTGTGAAGTATGCTGCTGTCATTTCAGTTGGGATTGCATTAAATCCATATAGCAGTTTTGGAAGTATGATCATTTTCACTATGTTGATTCTTCCTACTCAGGAGCAAGGGATGTCTTTCCATTTTCTGATATCTTATTCAATTACTTTTTCAGAGTGTTGTAGTTTTCAGAGTAGAGGTCTCTGATTTCTTTCATAAGGTGGATTCCTAGGTATTTCAAATTTTTGGATGTTATTGTGAAAGGAATTGTGTGTCCCATTTCTCTCTCAGTAAGTCTGTTTTTCATGTACAAGAAAGCTATTGGTTTTTGTGTGTTGACATTGTATCAAACTACTTTGCTGAATTTGATCATTAAACCTAGAAGACTTTGGGTGGAGTTCTTGGGGTCTTCTAGAGTGACATGTCATCTGCAAATAATTACAATTTGACTTCATTTCCTATCTTTATTCCTTTTATTTCTATCTCTTGTCTAATGGCTGTGGCTGTCTCCAAAACTATATTGAATAGGAGTGGTAACAGTGGACATCCTTGTCTTGGTTCCTGATTTTAGTGTGAAGGATTTCAGTTTTGGCCATATAATATGATATTGTCTGTGGGGTTTTTCATAGATGGCGTTTATCAGACTGAGGTAGAGACCATCTATTCCAATTTTCTGTAGGGTTTTTTCTTTTATCACGAGTGCATTTTATAAAATGCTTTCTCTGCACCTATGGAGATGATCATATGGTTTTTGTCCTTGGCTCTATTAACATAGTGCATTGCATTCTGAATCATCCCTGAATTCCTAGGACAAATCCTATTTGGTCAGGTGTATCATCTTGATGATCTCCTGCACTCTATCTGCGAGTATCTTATTAAGGATTTTTACATCTATGTTCATTATTGAGATTGGCCTACAGTTCTCTTTTTCAGTTGGGTCTTTCTCTGCTTTGGGGATCAAGGTGATGCTTGCTTCCAGGAATGAATTCAGGAGTATCTTTCCTTTCAATTTCATTGAAAAATTTAAACAGGGGTGGCACTAGTTCCTCTCTAAATGTCTTGTAGAATTCAGCAGTGAAGCCATCAGGACCAACTTTTCTTAGTTGGTAAGTTTAATTATGTTTTCAATTTCATTGATTGATATTGGATTGTTTAGAATTTTTAGGTCATCTTCATTCAACTTTGGTAATTCATGTGTATCTAGGAATCTGTCCATTTCTGGACAGATTTGCATCTTATTGGCATATAGGTTTTTGAGGCAGGTATTGATGATCTTTTGGATTTCTGCTGTGTCTCTTGTAATTTCACCCTTTTCATTCCTAATTGCATGGATAAGGGACTTTTCTCTTTTTTTGAAAAGGTTGCATAAGGGTTTATCAATTTTATTCTTTCAAACAACCAACTCTTGGCTTGATTTTTTGTATTGTTCTCTTAGTCTCCATTGCATTGATTTCTGCCCTGATCTTTATAATTTTCTCCCTTGTATGAGCTTTGGGTTTGTCCTGCACTTCTTTTTCTAGAAGCTTGAGGTACAGCATCAGGTTGTGTAATTGAGCTTGCTCTGTTTTCCTAATAGGAGTATTCAGTGCTATGATTTTCCCTCATAAGACTGGTTTCATTGTGACCCACAGATTCCTATATGTTGTATCGTCATTTTCATTTAATTGTAGGAATTGTCTGATTTCTTCTTTAATTTCCTTTGTGACCTATTAGTTATTCAGAAGTGTGTTATTCAATTTCCATGTGTTTGTGAAATTCTTGTGGTTTCTTTTACTATTGATCTCCAATTTAATCACACTATGGTCTGATAATATACAGGGGATCACTTCAATTTCTTTGCACTTAGAAATGTTCTATGAGTATGTGATCTATTTTGGAGAATAACCCATGTGCAGCTGAAAAGAATGTGTATTCTGATTTTGTGGGGTGTAAACACCTGTTAACTTTATTTGTTCAAGAGTTTGAGTTCTAGTATTTCATTGTTTATTTTTTATCTAGTTGATCAATCTATGACAGTGGGGGCTGGAAATTTAGCTCAGTGGTTCTGTTGCCTGCCTTGGAAGCACAAGGTCCTGAGTTTGATTCCCATACCAAAAAAAACAAAAAACAAAAAACAAACAAACAAAAACAAACAAAAAAAAAACCCAAAAACTTTATTTGTGACAGTGGGATATTGACATCCCCCATAACTATTGTGTTAGTTCTTATTTGATTTTTCTGTGGTACTGGGGATGGAATTCTGGTCCTTGTGCTTGCAAGGCAGGTGGCAGAACCATTGAGCTAAATCCCTGGCTCGAAGGATGCTTTTAAATTAAGTCAAATGTAAAAAATCTTCTATATTGTCATTGTAGTTCATTTGTTTGGGGGTGGGGATTGAAACATCTTTTAAAAAATGATATGAAAAAGTTACAGACATGATTATCTCCTAGAAATTTAGAGGTCTCAAAAGACTATCTTCAACCAGCAAAACTGAGAGTACAAAAAATGATTATAGAAAAAAATGTCCAAAGTTCCTTATACATATTTTGAGCAAATCCAAATCTTCTGAGAATAAGACATAGGAAAAAAAAATGCTTGGGAAAAAATCTGAGGCCATCCACAGTTAGAAAAAAAAGTTTGAAAATTGGTATATTATTTTTCATCAAATTGCAGAGTCCTCTGATAAACAACAGAGAAACATCTGGATCTCTGGAAATCAACAGAATCCCTTGAAGACATATTCTCTTCAAGGATGGAGTGAAATAGCAGAGAATAAACAGTCCCAGCAGAGTGCCTCAATATAAAATTGTTATGAAAATCATAACAGAACCAATTTTATTGAATGTTTACGAATGTCATCCAGTAATAAGCTAGACATTTGTGACATCTTAGAGAACACACCAAGGTAAAATGCAAAACTTAGTGAGACCACTATATTTAATAAAGTAATAATTACAGTGGAGGCAGCTGGCTAGAATTTTGTGGTTTAGCAATTATCTCTTTGAGTATTTTCGTGCTCATTTCTTTCTTCTGTTACTCTTGACAAGTAGATTTGGTGCATTTAACAATGTCTGGCATTCCTGAAGACTCCCCCACATTCTTTTTTCTCAGGTTATATATTTTCAATTAATCTTCAAGTTATTCAATCTTTTGTCCTGTTAGCTGAAAACTACTGTTGTGTCTCTCTAGTGGATTTTCTTTTTGGTCCTTGAACTAATCAGCTTTAGAATTTCTCTGTTTCTTTTTGTAAGTAAAAAATTCTCTGTTTGATGAATCACTCTTTCAGACTTTATATTCACTAAATAACTTAATAGAATTTTATTGGGTTTGTGCTGAATGTATGGATCAATCAGGTTGTGAAGAATTACATCTTTAAAATATTGAGCCTTCCTACATATGAACATTGAGTCTCTTCCTATCCAAAAACACTGAATCCCTTATCTTTCTTGATTACATATGCAGGTTTCTTCATACAGATCTTGTACATATTATACAAAGGGATTTTTTTGTTCTACCACAGATTGTAGTCTTTTTAATTTCTTAATTCCAACTGTTTGTTGCTAGTAGATAGGAAAGCAAATGACTTTACATGTCAACCTGTATATTGCAATGATCTTACAACTGCTTATTTGTTCCAGTTTCTTTGTGATTTTGTACATGGACAATCACATCATTTGTGAATAGTCTGATTCCCCGCCCTTGTTTTATTTTTTTTGTCTTACTTTACCTGGGAATTTCCATATGACATTATGTAGAAGTGGTGAAAGGGAAAAATCCTGATCTTATGGAAAGCATCCAAGTACTCTAAGGAGTTAAGAAAGTTCCTTTTTTAAAGAATCATAAATGGGTGTTGGAATTTGTCTACTGCTTTTTCTAATGACGTGGTCATGTGATTTTGTTAGCTTGTTGATGTGATAATATTGCTTTTGGAATGTTGAACTAGCCTTCAGACCTGAAATGAATCTCACTTGAAAGTGGTGTCTAATTATTTTCTACACTATTGGATTTCATTTGCTAATATTTGTTAAGGATTTTTGCATCAATATTCATGGTATTGGTTTAGTTTTCCTTTCTTATGTCTTTGCCTGCTTTTGAGTTAGGAAGTATTCTACCTACTTCTATCTTCTGGAAGAGGTCATAGAGAATTGCCATAAGTTCATCTTTAAATGTTTGATAGACTTCACCACTCTCATACTTTTTCCTTTGGAAGGTTAATTATAGAGTCAATTTAATAAATATGGGCCCATTCAGATGATTTTCTCCTTATGTTAAGTTTTGGTAGACAGTATCTTTTAAGAAATTTAACTATTTTGTGTATGTCTTCAAATTTATGGGTATAGCATTGCTCTTAATACTTTTTTAATGTCTCTGGAGTAATTAGCAATGATCTTTTTAATTCTCATATTAGTACTTTTTGTTTTTTACCCTTAGTCTGGCTAGAGGTTTATCAATTTTAGTGATATTTTCAATGAACTAGTTTTGGCTTGAGTTTCTCCACCATTCTTCTGCTTACATCTGTACTGATTTCTGCTTTTTTTTTTTCCTCCTGTTTCTTGGAATTTAATCTGCTTTTTAAAAAATTTCCTAAGCTAAAAATTCAGATTAATAATTTTAGACTTTTCCTTTTATTCTAACACATTCAATTAAAAGAATCTTTCATTGAATAAAATTTGATAAATTGTATTTCAATTTCTTTTTCTTTCTTGTCTGGCACCAGGGATCCAACTCAGGACTTGGTGCTTATGAAGCAAGTGTATAACCACTAAGCTAAATACTTGGCCCTAGATTTCATTTTGTACTTTGTTGTTGTTGTTGTTGTGGTACTGGGAATTGAACCTAGGGCCTTACACTAAACTGAATCACTATTTATTGATATATTTATTTTATTTTGAGACGAGATCTTGCTAAATTACTGAAGTGCTTAGGCTTGGATTGAGCTTGCAAATGTCCTGCCTCAGCAGGACATGCACCAGCATGCCTGGCTTAGAAAATACTTTTAATTTTTCTTAAACAGTTCTTTGAGCCATAAGTGAATGAGAAGAATATTGTTTAATTCTCAAGTATTTGGAGATTTTTTTTTTTTATCTGTTACTGGTTTGCTGGTTCATTGTTAGGCACATGCACATTAAAAATAATGTCTTTTTGTAGAAAGGACTCTTTATCATTATAGGATAGGACCCCTCTGTTTTGTCTGAAATTAATACATTGACCTCAGCTATTAGTGTTAGCATGTATATCTACTTTTCTCCCTCTTCTCCTTTTCTTTTTTTTCCTCAGTCATGTTCACTTTAATGATGATCCAATAAAAGGATTCTTCACTTGTGAGATTGTATTTTTAAAATTTTACTTTACTTCTATTTTTCTGCCTTTATTAGCCATCTGCTCTTTTATGTTACATACATTCTCCATTAGAGCTCCTATCATATTAATCAATCATTTTAAATTCCCAACCTGATAATTGTAACATTTAATAACTGAGTCTAGTTCTGATGCTTATCTTAACTCTTCAAACTATCTTTTTTTCTTCCTTTTTTGTTGAACCTTGGACAAAATATACTGGACAAAAAGAACTCCTGTGAATAGGCCTTTACTGATGTGGCAACAGGAGTAAGAGGCATTCTACAGTCCAATGATTAGACCTTTAGTGAAAGTAGCCCCTTGACTTTTACCTGCACCATTACTTCTCAGTCATTCTCCCAGGCACTCAACCCCTCCTTAGGTGAAATGGAAGGATGCGGTAAGCTGGAGTTGAAAGTTTCCCTTTTTCCAGGTGATTAAGCTCTGGTGACATCCAAAGTGATTAGGTTCTAGCAAAAGTTTCCCTTGAGACCAGGATTTTCTAGAGAAAAAAAAAAACAAAAAAAAACAAATTCTAAATTCTCTGGGCCTATTTCAAAATGTTTATTTTCCCCCAATACTGCCAAAAACATAAGCAATTCTTTTTTTCCCCTCTTTCTCTATATACTTACTATGAAAACCTGGTGGGACTCCCAAAGGGAAAACTCACAGAAATTTACCTTCCTCACAAGGCCTGGCCTCCAGTAGTTTTTCTTTCAAGTTAGTCCATACTCAGTTTCTATCAATTAGCTCATCTGTATCTGATGGTGGCTCCAGCAGTGGATTCTGGGCAGACTCTCCTCCAGGTAACTGTGATGCTGTGCTTATGTCTCCAGTTTTCATGCTGGTGGCTTTTCCTGTGACCTCAATTCTCAGACAGATTAAAGAAGAATTGATTTTGCACTTTTTCAATATATTAGGGGTAGAGTTAAAACTTGAAGATTCTGGGCCTGGGATTTAGCTCAGTAGTACCGCCACCTGCCTCACAAGTGCAAGATCTGGAGTTTGATCCCCATAACAAAAAAAACAAAAACAAAAAAACCTTGAAGACTCTTATATGTTAAAAAGGAAACCACAAGTATCTTGTGCTTCTTTTGAAGAGACTGATGATTTTCCAGGATGGCTTTACTTAACATGATGCCAGCAATATGTGAGAGATTTGGTTTCTTCACATCTTGGTCAGCATTTGGTACTGCCACTATTTTTCAATTTTAGTGTGCGTATACACGTGTGTGTGTAGTAATGGAAATTGAAGCCAGGGTCTCTCACATGTCAGGCAAGTGTTCCATCACTAAACTAAATCTCCAGCTTTTTTTTTTTTTTTTTGAGATATGTTCTCCATGCTGGACTCAAACTTGTAGTTTTCCTGTTTCATTCTCTAGAGTACCTGGGATTACAGGTGTGCACCACCATACCTGCTTATTTTAGCTGTTCTAAGAGTAATTAATATTTCAATGTGGTCTAAATTAACATTTCCTTAATGGCTACTGATATCAAATATGCTTTTCATGTACTTATTTGCCATCTATATATCCTTTTTATGAAGTATCTCTGGTTTTTGCCTATTTTATTAATGGATTTTTGAAAACTGTTATTAGAGTTCTGTATTCTAGACAACTTTTACCAGATATGTTATTCATTAATACTTTCTTTGAGTCCCTACATCTTTCATCAATTAAACAGTCTGTAAGGAGAAAAAGTTCTGTGATTTTGATAAAGTCAATTTAATAATGTTTTCTTTTATGAATATTTTTGTAAGAAATATTTAATATGAACTATTTAATAGGTTTCAAAGACTTTTCTAAAAATTTTTTACATTTAAATCAATGATCCACTTTTGAGTTACTTTTTTGTAGCAGTGAAATTTGGGTGAACCAATCACTCTCTCTCCAGTGAAACTTATTCCTCCAGATAATTAAGTCTTATAAATCACCTCTCTCACCAATTATTACTACAAGATAACCAGTTTACTCTACTCTCTACAACAGTAACTTGCTGAGAATACAAATTTTTTACTGGGGTAAAAGTGGGGCAGATTTATTACTTTTTTTGGCAATTGTAGTGGGGCTATTTGAGACATTAGGCATTTAGAATTAAGCATTAAAATACCAGAAGGTAGAGGGTCAAGGCTGTCCAGAACAGTGAAAAGGAGAAAATGAGTTAAAAAAAAAAGAACATTCTTATTCTTTTACTAGGGATGAGGTTATAGCAAACCTAAAATTAAAAACCAAAACCAGCCAACCAAACAAAAAGCTAGAATAATTTTGTATGTGAATTATGCTAAGGGATAAAGCATAAATTAAATAAGCTTTTTCCAAATAGCAGTTATCTCTGAATTACCTTAACAATTTGCTGCATCTGCTTACGATCATGTACTACTTCATTATTTTTGGCTCAAGGTTAATTTGTTTAACATTTTTTAACTGGGAATATTATTTCCTTAACATTGATAATAAGTTTAAGCATGGCATCAACACACTCATGAGATGATGCTTTAGAGACTGATTAGCATACTATGATATATTACAAGTAATACCAAGAGTTACTAGATAGTGATCAAGATTACTTTTCTATGTAAGTTTAGCATAAAATCACGGCCCCATTTTACTGTGAGAATTGAACTGAAGCCTGCTATTTTCATTAAATCCAAATGAAGTAGCAAAATGTTGCAATAGTGACTGGTGTAGATGAGTGCCCATCTTGAGTGGGATATGTGACATACCTGGAAAGCAGTACTCAGGTTTTTCTTTGAAATGTGTTTTTATGTTGTCAATACTATTACTTTGATTTGCAAGTGGACTAGCTGGGAAATACAAACACTTGTACTTGACTTTTTAAAAATCAAGTTTATCTTCTATCAAATTACTCATAGCCAGGTTTCCACAGACCTAGAATTTTAAAGCAATGATCCAGTATGTCCCACTGATAACATTTTTTAAAAAGAATGAACATAGTCAGGTTGACTTAGTCTTAAGGGTTTCTGGATTTCGTCCTTGAAGGAGATCAGGATCTTCCCAAGGCCTTGGGCCTCGAATATTCTTCCAGTCTTCAAAAGTAGCGTCCTTTATTTTCTATAGGACAACAAAAGTTAAAGTATTTAAGTTAGTGTAGGAGTCTGTGGCTTTGACTACAAAATCACTGAATGAATGCATAGAAAGAATCTAATAGGCCCTCAATTAGAATTTCAAGTACGCCGTAAGCCAAAAAAAAAAAAAACAAACAAAACTGAAAAAGTCCTATTTCTTAGAATTTAAAACATTTCTTGCTCGCTACTAATGCTAATACCTCTCTTTCCCCCACAGTAATAAAACTACTGACACAGAAAAAGTGTCTACATGCTTTATTTTTTGAGAGCACAAAAAAAGGTAAGAAGCTGTGGAAAAAAGTGTAAATCTGAAGGCTGATCCAGAATAATTACTATAAAGGTTAGCATGAGTGATGGTAGAAAATAAGAAGCAAAGAACAAAGTTAGAGACCTAAACTCTTCTACAAGGAACAGACCAACACGATTTATCTTGTGTCTGAGAAATAAGCCTGTGGTTAAGAATAAAAAAGACTTTCCCCACAGTTAACATGAACAATACCCTTTTGAGCAGTCAAAACTCATTTCAGGTACAATTTTGACCATTCTACTTTCACTTAATCTGAAGAGTCTCTCAAACACAGGAAGGCAGGGAAAAAGGGAAGAAAAAAAATATTTTTTCTCCCTTGTACTGTCCATCACTCCAAAAGTTCCATTTATACATTTGCTGCTTTCATTGTTCTGGAATAATTAAGTAAAACAAAGAAAACAGGCTGACAGAATACAGGGTAACATATCCAAAGATGGGAAAAATGGCCTAAGTTCACCTTGACCTTTGGTTATTAAGCATTACGGTTTTACTAATTAGCTGTATAACCTTTAGCATTTATTTAAGCCACCTAGGCATTCATTCCTTCATAAGTAATAATGAAAAGACAGGAATAAATGTTTGATATGGTTTTAGTTCTCAAATTCCATGGTTTCTGGAAGAATTAGAAAAAAATCTCCCAAATAAATCTTTCACAGCATTAGCACTGATATAGTGCTTATATGTTCTCAAGTGGCCAAACAGGAAAGTAGTGAATGACCAAATAGGGAAGTAGTGAATAAAAATACAAGAAAAATACATGAGGAGAACCGAAATAAATATATACAAAGGAGCAAAATTTTATTAATTTAGCTTGGAAGAAGGTAAAGTATTTTTACATGTTGTTATGAAATGATTTAAAGATATTAAGAGTAATGGCCAATAACCAAATAAAATAAGATGTGTATGATAAAGAGAATTAAAATCAGTCTTGGATGACAGGCAAGGTTGATAGAAGGTGATGTATAAATGTCTGATTTCAGAGATTGTTATGGTTTACATCTAAAATGTCCCCCAAAATTCTGTGTGTGTGGAAGGTTTACATCTAGAATGTCCCCTTTAGATCCTGGGGATGCTGTTCTCATCAGTTGATTCATCCACTGATAGGTTCAGCAGCTGAATGTACTGTTAGAAGGTGGGGCCTGGTTGGAGCAGAGTCATTGGTGGCATGACCTGAAAGCAGGTATTCTTGTCCCTGGTTCCTCTCTTCTTTTTCTACTTCTTGGCTGTCATGAGATAAGTAACTCTCCTCTGCCAAGGCCCTTCTACCATGCTTTTTCAGCTTTGGAGCCAGTGGATCGACAGAAACTGTGAACCAATTTAAACCTGTCTTCTTGTAAGTAGTGGGTGTTGAGTATTGCGTCCTAGTGATGGAAAAGTGAATAAGATAATTTTTGGACAAAAGGTTCTTTGTAGAAATTCTACAAAAGATAGTGACTGAATGATAGATTGTGCTTGCATCCAGAAGACACTCAAGACCTACCAATTACTAGTCAACTGCCATAGGAATGAGTGTGGAACAGATTCAAAAAATGTTGAAGAGAAGCAGTAGTCGTGCCAGAGTGGACTTCTTAATACTAGCCAAGACACCTAAAAAATTTTTCTTTAGGAGTAAGGATTATGTTGAGAAGAATACCTACTTCTCCAACAAAATTTAAAACCAAAACCTGCCAAGATCCTCTAGGGAGATAGTTGAAAGAATGAGTCCAACATCAAGTTACACTGATCTAAGAAACATCACAGCCTTTTCATGGGTTCTTCCTTTCAAAGCACAACACCAAGTTCAAAGTGATCAGCCAATAACTTAACTGTCAGGTAAAATGAAAATCAACACTTCAGAAATCTCTTTAATACTCATTACCAACTTTCAATCAAAAAAGACCACACATGCCGCCGCCTGCCTGGCAAGTGCAAGGTCCCGAGTTTGATTTCTGATATTAAAAAAAGAATGACCACACAAATATGATTCAGTCAAAAAATGATTAAAATATAAATGGGGAACATTTTCCCTTCACCACATCCTATAATATAATATGCTATTAAGCTTTTTGATTTTTGCTAATCAGACTGGTGGAAAATGGTACCTCATTATAACTTTGACATTCTTATTTTGATAAGTTGAGCATTTGTGTGTTTCAGAATACTTATTTATTTTCCTCTAAACTCTTTGTTTTAGCCACATTCCTACTGACCAACTAATTTATTGAACATTTTCATACTGACTTGTAGATGTTCTTCACAATTAGCCATGATAAGGACAAATTTTTAGAACTTCTCATTTAATTTGTGACAATATAGAATTTTTGTTGGTTTGTTTGTTTTTCTGAGACAGGGTCTCACTATGTAGTTGAGACTGACCTGGAATTCACTCTGTAGCCCAGGCTGGTCTCGAACTCACAGCAATCCTCCTGCCTCAGCCTCCCGAGTGCTGGGGTTACAGGTGTGCACCACCATGTCCAGCAACATATATAATTTTTTTAGGTTGAACGTTCAGGTTTTTAATATATAAACACACATCTTTACTTTTACAAATTCTGGGTTTGAGATCATATTTAAGTAGGTTTTTCTGACTTAAAAATCTGCATTTTCTTCCTCCTAGCACAATTACTGTTTTGCTTAATTTTAGATTATTGATGCAGGTGGAATTTATCATTCATGGTATAAGAAATATGAATCTATCTTCATTTTCTTTTCAAATGACTATATACAGGTTAAGCATCCCTAAGTCCAAAATCTGAAATCTAAACCTTCTTGGCTGTTGACATGAATGCTCAAAAAAGTCAGATTTTGGGCTGGAGGTGTAGCTCAGAATCAGAACACTACCTAGCATGTGTGAGGCCATGGGTTCAATCTTCAGTGTCACAAAAAGAAAACAAGAAGAAAATTTCAGATTTGGGAGCATTTTAGATTTTCAGATAAGGGATGCTTAACTGGTAAAGTCTATCTGAAAAACTCGAAAACACTTCTGGTACCAAGCGTTTCAGATTAAGAGATATTTAACCTGTAGTTTATTAAATACCATATATTTAAAATAAATAATTTTTTTGCAATACTAATTTATCTTAAGGCAGACAGAAGCCATCATGACCAGTAAGACTGTTACAAAAGATAAAACTATTAACGTTATCATACCTCGTATTCTGACTCTAAAGATATTTTACTCATTTTCAGCTTTTTTTCCAATTCAGGATCAATCTGCAGGAAAGAAAGAGAAATCTGTAAGTTACTTACAATTGCTTACATTCAATTTTCTACTTTGTAAAAGTTGTAGAACTGGAATAGTATGGCCAACTTAAAACACATGGCAAATGTTATGGCTTCTATATAAATGTCCTCCCAAAACCTCATGTGCTCATAGGTGGATTTTTGGGAATGACTGGATAATGGATGTGTGACATTGGATTAATTCACTGATTGGTATAGCATAGTTCTAGGTGTGGGTGATAAACTTACTGAAGAGGGAAGACCCACCCTGGGTATAGGCGGCACCAACCAATAAGCATGTAGCCTGGATGGAATAAAATGGGAAAGAAATGCTTGCTGTCTCCTGCCTGCCACACCATGAACTGTTTTTCTTCTGTTATGCCCTTTTTCCATGCTGCCCTCCCTTGGAATCAGCCAACTATGGACTGAAACCACTACAAACCGTGAGCTAAATAAACCTTTCCTCCTTTAACTTGGGCATGTTGGATATTTTGTCCCAACAATAAGAAAGTAACTAAGAAAGATTTTGATACTAGGAGTGGGGTCATTGCTGTGAAGGTACCTGGCTATGTGGTTCAGGAGCCTTTGGAATTGGCTTATATAGCTGAGAAGTCTGGAAAGTTATGGAGATGGTGGCTAGAAAAGCAGCCCTAGAATGCTTTAAGTTCCCAAGCTTGATGGGAGATTATGATCAGATCTCTGAAAACCAGAATGTTGAGAGTAATGCAGATGGATAAGACCAGGCTCAAGAGGTTTCAGTTGGGAAGAAGGACTCTACTGGGTAGCTGCACTCTAGGATATGTCATGCATTGGCAGAAAATTTGTTTACATTTTGCTCATGTCCAGAGACACTACAGGAGACTGAGATGAAGGGCAATGGACTAAGGAATCTCATGGAAGAAGTTTTAAGGCAGTCTAATGTTGAGGCTACTGGTGGGGGCTTTTACCTAGCTGTACCTTGAGATTCAAGAGCAAACGGATCAGCGGAATGATTTAAAAAGTCTGAGTTTGGCCAGAAAGGAAGTTCCAGTAAAGATGTGGCCTGTAAAGATAAAGCAGAGGAGAACTAGGTTGCTGAAAAGATTATCACTAAAAGGCAAAGTACTGCAGAACAGGCCAATAAAAAAAGATGGCCCAAGGTATCACAAGAACCAACAGTACTCTACCCACTGCAGCCTCAAAATTGGAAAGGTGAAAGTCTGAACTGACAAGAGTCCCAGGGCACCTGTTTCAGGTGGTGTCCTGAGCCATTTGTTCCGTGGGGTTGGGTTCACAGCACTCAACAAGCCAGGCACTTGGCTCCTACAGCCAAGAGGAGGAAGGCTGGTTACTGCTCCAGCTGGCAGCAGACCTGCACTTCATCCCAGGGTGCAGGTTTTAGGTACATGCGGAATACAAGAGTATTCAGGAAAACTTCCACCCAGATTTCAGAAGAAGGCCTGGGATGCCAGGCAGTGTGTCCCTGAGAGGGTAGTGTGTAAAGCTGTGAGTGTGAAGCTAAAGTGCAGTGGAAAACTCAGAAGGCTGGAGAAGCCAGGATGTGGATCATCTGAGAAAAGATGTAAGAAGTGAGCAAAGCTGGCTGAAGAGAGGGACCATGAGGGCTATGACCACCAGCAGTGCTGTAGGAGTAGAGCCATATATCCTCTGGAGTTCACATCTTGCCACAGATTACCCTACGTGTTGGGCAGGGAATGCTGAGATTTAATGTTTGCCCTGCTTTGGTCCCATTCCTTTCTGTTCCCCTATTTCTACCTTTTGGAATGGGAATGTTTATCTTGTGCCATTGTATGGTGGAAGTGTTTAACTTCTTTTCATTTTTACTGGGGCTCACAGCTAAGAATTTTCCTTAAATCTCAGAGAATTTGGACTTGGACTTTTCAGCAATGCTGAAACTATAAGGACAATGGTCACTCTTAGAGATGGATTAAATGCATTTTGCATAAAGGGATCCACATGAGTCTTTTGGGGGACCAAGAGTCAAATGTTATGGTTTAGGGCTGGGGATTTAGCTCAGTGGTGCTGCACCTGCCTCACAAACATAAGATCCTGAGTTTGATCCTTGGTACCAAAAAAAAAAAAAAAAAAAAAAAATGTTATGGCTTACACTTAGATGCCTCCCTCAAAACTTCAGGCACTCATAGGTGGGGCATTTGAGAGTGAATGGATGGACCATGGGTACAGTACTGGATTAGTCCACGGACTGATTTAGCACAGATAAGTTTTTTAAGATCATGATACACAGTGTATTTACCATTTTTATTCTATAATTCTTTTGTTATAAAAATTATTTTTCCATAGAACTGTTTATATTTTCCTTATTAATATCTACTTGTAGGGCCAGGGATTTAGCTCAGTGGTTCTACCACCTGCCTCACAAGTGCAAGGTCTTGAGTTCTATCCCTAGTACCAAAAAACAAACAAACAAACATCTATTTATATTACATTAAAATAAAATAAAAAACTAAATATACAGTTCAGTAGTAAAGAAATATAGCAACAAATTCAAAAGATGGCTCTAATAACAGACTGGTCATAGCAAAAGACAGGTTTAATAATTAGGAGATAAAAATAATATAAAACATACAAATTAAAAAACAGAAAAGAAAAAGAATGGAAGCAAATAGAAAAATTAAAAAGTGAAGTGTTAAACTTAATTTAAAAATAATTATATCTGAATGAAGTCCATCGAAGAAGAGAGAAAACTGGGCAAAACCAACACTTTATAGGACATTAATAATTTTTTTAATGTCTTCTGTTGTTTCACTGAAAATCTTCAAAGAAATCAGAAGACAATTTGAAACTCCATTTCTTACAAATTGGAGTACCTAAAGAGTTATGGTAAATATTTCTCCATGCCATAATTTAATCATTTGATATACAAGCACAATCTTTGGTAAGACTCAACCAAGTAGCTATATAAGGTAGAGTCAATAGATTTGGTATTAAACTTTCTTCTTTTGTTTACTCACTGGAGAATTTTTAAAATGCATCTCTACATTTGAAAAAGGTAATTTTATTCAGATTCATAGTACATGAATTAACAGCATCTACTATTGCAGATTAAGTATTGGTATTTGCACAGGGGAGATAAATAAACTTATGATTTGGAAGTACTGCCTGCCTGTCCTCCTACACATGTAAGATTCACAGCCTTCATGTGTTTTCACATTCCTCTCTCCAAAGGTGCTCATTTTTTATTTTTGCATATTGTACAGTATGCTCTGTTTTGGTTATTGTTTGTTTGTTTTGGTTATTTAACTCCCTAATCCAACTGTATGTGTCTTTTCCATCTCCCATTAAAATAACAGGGCTTTCTTTTTCAGTGATATATAGAGATCACACTGGCATTGGTATCATAGTTTTTCTCATTTTCATTATTGAATCTTAGAAAATATGGTCATAATATTTGTCACATTAAAAATTAAGCCAGCACTACCATGTTACAAAGCATAATAAGCAAAATCAAAGACTGTAAGCGTTCACAACTGCAATATACTTAAGTTGCACACTTAAATCAATTGGTGTGATTCAATAATGGATAATCCATGACTGTAGATCCATGGTTGCTAGCATGATCATTCAAAAGAAAAAAACACCAGCACCCTTCAGAAATGGGAGATAAACCATATCTTTGTCAGGCTAAAAACTAGAAGCAACTGCTGTCAGTTTATTTATTTATTTATTTATTTTTGCAGTACTGGGGATTAAACTCAGGACCTTGTGCTTAGGAGGTAGGTGCAGTGCCACTGAGCTAAATGCTCTTATTTTTTTTTTTAGGTCACTTTGATAAAAGGAATTGGGATGCTAAACCAAACCTTTTAACACAGTTAAACTAAGAATTGTTAGTAAACTGAAAATTTACTGGAATTTTTCAGGTAACTAAAAATTATTCTATATCCTTATAAAAACAACGTATTTTAAAAAATATAATATTCACTAATTTGTATCTATATTTAAGACTAGCTAGAACTGGCTTTTCTCAAATTCATGTAGAAAACTGAATCACCTTTATACTCTTTACTTTCCCAGCAATATTACTTAGTTCTGCGGATGATATACCTGGACAATCTTCTGGTATCAGATATATGTCACAAACAAGTTACACAGCACTCAGTGAATGAACCAGAGTTCTTACATCATGCTTGGCACAAATTTGACAATAAATGTAAGAGTAAGAATCCTAGCCCTACCCCTAAATAGCCACATGATAACAGGGGCAAGATACATAAGCTTTCTGAACCCCAGCTTCCTCACCTGCACAATGAAGGAACTAGCACGGTCCTACTATAAAGTAGTTACTATAAAAAGATTACACCTTTATGTATAACAAAAAGTAATCTTCCATTTTTTAGTATTAGTTGCTAGATATATATCAACATAATTTATAAAATTAGTAGTAAGATAAAAGTTAATTTATAGTTAGATAAAGTAAAACAAAAATTATTTACTCACATTCTTTAGATCCTTCTGAATTCTAAATACAATGACACTAAAGATTGTTCTATGGGATTATTAATCTATTTTAAAGAATAAGAGAGCAAAAATTGTATATTAATCTTAAAAAGCAAGACAAACAGACTAAGTATACTAAACAAAAACATACATATACAGACATAAGTCGAACTCCAATTGTAATTCTTACTTTAATCTTCACAGCATCATACCGGATTTGTGAGAACTCACGAAGACCAAAAGAACCTCCAACAATCAGCAACTGAAACAAACAGAAGGACAGAATGTGATAATGGCTGTGCAATGGAGAATATACTAAAAACAAGGAACTGAACATTCTTGGTGAATTTTGGGGGGGTGTACAGGAAAAAAACAGGTCTAATAAGTCACATTAGAAATGTAAACTTTGGTGGTTAAACAAGCAAATATATATTTTAAATGGTTTGGAAGAAAGAGGAAAAAAGTATTATTAGCCTATATCTGATAATCCAAATCCCCTTCTGTATATTGCTCAATAAAGATTTCTAGGAAGCATTAACAACAAAAAGAAAATACTGTAATATCAACTTGAATACACAGTATACCAGTGATGGCATATTTGACTGACACATGACCAAGAGGATGTGTCCCTTGAATTCATTCTGATACTGTATATCAGACTCCTGAATACAGTATTTTGCTGTACAAAATTATTTATGTGTGGGGCCAATTCTCAGAAACACGGCCCCTAGGCCAAGTATAGTTACACAGAACAGTCTACAGTAGCAGCACAGTAGCGTACTCGGGAAGAAGAACTGAGGTACTTCAATGTATACTACGTTTAAGACCTTTACTTTGGTAATTTTGAAAGGTGAAGAAAACAAACTGATTTTCATAGGGACATGCTGGGAACGAAAAGTCAGTGACCACAATCACACTGTTTCTAGGTGGTAATCTGCACAGAATAGTTTTTATACATGCCCTACCCTCAACACAAATGTAATTACTGTTATTTATAAAGACAGTTACTCTTGAAATCTTTAAAAATATATTTGAAGAGATGAGAAAAATCCAGATTCATAAAAAATGAGCTTTTGAAAAACCCATTGTTTCTAGAATCACCTTTTTCCATTTAGTCCTCCTTAAATGCAAAAGCTGGTATCTTCACCTGTGCCAATACCTGTATCAAAGTAATAAACATCTGCGTATTTTTTAAAAAGCTGCTTTTGTTTATATACTTGACAAATTATTTCATTTATTATGACACGGAGGTTGAAGCAAAATAAGTAGCCCATGATCACACAGGAACTAAAGGTAGTTGTCTGGATTCCAACTCGGGTTGGCTTTCTGACCTTAACCTGTATTCTCATGACATCTTTCGGGAACTCAGTGTAAAATTCTATGCAGCCATATAAACACCAAAGCTATTTTAAAAATTGCTTTAGAAACATAGAGTAACACATCAACCCGTTGAGGGCGCCACAGCACAGCAGGTGCTGTGCTAAACACTATTTGTAAGTTCTTATTTGGTTCTTCACAAAAATCGGTAACCAAATTTTGTAATCACCGAGACTGCCCTTAACTCTGGTTTCTTTGAGATTCAATTTATTCAGTTGTGAAACGGGTATAATAACAACAATCGTGTTCTTGATAAGAAAGATATCACACAGATCCTGGTAATTCACGGGAAGAGAGGGCGGGGGCGATATCCTGCTCCCTAGAAGACTAGAAGATTGTTTAAAGTTCTCAGTCTGTCGTCAGCGTAATTAGATCCTATCTTCGGCTTCTATTACAGACTCCCGAAGTTCTGATGCTGCAAACCAGAAGGCTCCGCTTTCCTCTCACTGCACTCACCAACATGGGGACTCCGTAGCGAAGGGTCTTGTTCTTGCGCAAAACTCGCATCACCCCGGGTGTGAACATAACTGCAACTTCGGCACGTTTGGGGTCTCTCCAAGCTGACCCAGAGCGTCCTCCTAAAATTTGACGGCTTTTCCTAACTCACCTCCTTTTCCTGGTAGCTTGGTGCCGAGTCCTCCCCTAATAAACCTCCGCCAGGCAGAAGCAATCGATTCAAGGTTACACACTCTCGTGCACGCCCAGAAGTTGAGGCAACGTATCTTTAGTTCCGGTATGCCAACTTGCAGCTACAATTTAGACTAGAATCCGATTTTCTGTCACTATCAAATTATTATGGAAGGCAGTATCTGGCGTATTCTGGGTCTTGACTACATTTTCTTAGAATATTCCCTGGCACATGGTTATTAAATTCGGCTGAGCGGAGGCGGTTTTTTTTTTTAATTGAGTTTATTGATACTTTTTAGGTATACAGTACAGTTACATCACCATTGGGATCTTGTACCTTTACATGATATATTTTGGTTATCTTTTCCCCATTATTCTCCAACTTCCCTATTTACAAAAACTTTGTTTCCCTTTTTTTCCTTTGCTCATATTTTTTCTTTTCCCTTCTTTCCTTTCCCCTACCCTTTCCAATTCCCCTACTCCTTTAGTCCTTTTCTTCCTATTTCACATTATCAATTATACAGTTTGAACCTTATTTACATTTTTAGTTTTTCACACCAAAGAAATGATTCAGCATTTACACGTGTTTCCAATTTATATCACAAGAGCGTATGGCCTCAACATGCATCCATTTAGCTATACATGTCTTTAGTTTCTCATTCTTTATGGCTGAGTAAGTAGTACTCCATTTTATAGAAAAACCACATCTTTATCCAGTCTCCAGTTGATGGGCAATTGGGCTGTTTCCAAGGTTTAGCTATTACAAACTGTGCTGCTATAAACATGGGTGTACATATATTCTTGTAATTCTTTTGGGAAGACACCCAGCAGAGGGATAGCTGGGTCAAATGGGACCTCTAATCCTAGTTTTTAAAAGTATATCCATATTGATTTCCACAGTGGTTGCACCAATCTGAACTCCCACCAACTATGGAGTAGGATTCCTTTCTCCCTACAACCCTGCCAGCATTTGTTACTGGTTAATTTCTCAATAGCAGCCATTCTTTCTGGGGTGAGGTGCAATCTTAGTGTTGTTTCCATCTGTATCTCTCAACCAGTAATGTTGAACATTTTTTCATATATTCATTTGCTGCTTTTACTTGTCTGAGAAATGTGTTCATTTCAGATGTCCATTTTTTAATCAGGTCTTTATATTTGGGGGCAGACTGATTTTTTTTTTTGAGATCTTTATATATCTAGATAGTAGACCTGTCTGAGGAACAGCTGGTAAATTTTTTTTCCCATATTGCAGGTTGTAGGGGCAGTATTCTGAAGCTAACAGCCTCTGTGCATGCTTGTAGGATGGGGAATTTTACCAGCTTAATAAAGCATTTTAAAAGTGAATCACTAGAAAGTTTAGATTGAAGGTAACCAGTGCAGTCTCTTACCACTGAATCTTTACTGCTAACGTATTTACTGTTATCCTGTGATCTTGACATTTATGAAAGTCTATTTTACACTGGTTCAACAATCATACTTTTTTGCAACCATCTTTCTGGAAGACTCCAGGAACATAGATGAAGATCTCCTTGCCTTAAACAAAGTGGCAATCTAAAGTGGTGATCTAACACATGTCTGAAAGTACTGTGATAGCTTAGGGAACTAAGTCCCCCTGGGTGCCCTTTGTCAGAATGAATCAGAAAGCTTGACAGGTGACACAGCATAACGCCTCCTATTCTATCCCTGAAATCTTCCCATTTATTCCTACATCTCCAATGCCCTTGAAATGTTCCTGGTTATCATCTTCCCACCTATTAAAGTATCTCCTCAGTGAACTCTAGAGGAGAAACTCCAGATCTACTCTTTAGGCTGCTCCAATGATACCCCTGCCTAAAAGACAATAGGGCCTCATAAAAAAATAATAAAATAAACATTTGTGTCAATCCACACTATTGGAAGACATAAATAATGATGAGATCCCCCGATTATACTTATAGTGTTCACTCTTTTCTTAGCAAGGTTTAAGATTCTTTAAGACTTCAGTGGAGCTCCAGTGGCAGAATTCACATACAGTATTTATACAAGTGTGGCCTTTTTGCACTGTTCATGCCATAGTCCATCCTGGAAATACAGTATTCCTTGAGTAGTCCACGAACTTCATCTTCATTGCGCCGCTCCTGAGAAGCCATTTTGTTTAGCCTCCCCACCCGCTCAACTGTACAGGCAATGTGAATTACTCCCTCCTCTGAGCTCCAGTAGCCTCTGACATGACAGAGTATCGCCACACTGGATTATTTAGTACATAGAATCATTATCACTCTGAATAGCATACAAGCAAGATGAAAATAGAATAGGAATATATCAGAGTGTGAATTTGAAAACTGGGAAGACCACCTGCATTGATCCAAGGGAGACTTTGAAGTATCAGGCCAACGTCTATTAACATAAAACAATTTGCTAACCCCTTCCCTCACCCTCTATTTCTTCACTTGTCTTAGAAGAGAATTTACAAATGTGAGGACTGGAGCAGAATGGTGGGAGGAAACAACCCAAATAAAAGAGAACTTCCTATAGAATTTGGTAATATTGACTCTCTCCTTACAATTCACTCCTTGTATGGCTTTCATGGATCCACTCCAGCTCAGACATTTGTTCAAGTCTTTCGGCTTGCAAACCTTAAATTGGAATCTTTAGTCCTCTATGCCTCAGAATCTCCCAGAGAACTATTAAAACAGACCATGGGGCCCTGTTAATGGAGTTTCTGATTGAGCAGTCAAGAGACTGGGGTTGAGAAACCTGCTTTTGTAACACGCTTCAGTGTGATGCTAACCTGCTGGTCTGTGAACTTCCTTAGATAAACTCTACTTTCACTTGGTCATCAAATTTTAGGACAGTGTAGATAACTTCTGGTACATTTCCAGAAACATGGAGTATAGACTGAATGGTTTTCTAACCTCTCAAGATCAAAACCCAAAACGTTTTATTTTGGCACTTCTCTCCATTCAATCTAATTTGTATGGCTAAAATTAGAGTAGCTAAACACCTTTTTTCCAGTTCAGCCCAATTTGAAACCAGTAGTACTTGCCATTGTTCAGCTAGAAAATCAACTGTTTCTTCTATGTACATTTCTTTTGACAGTGATTGTAAATATTCTTGTTTTAGAATATAGTTACCTATTTTACCACTATTTTTAATGAGTTATAAGCTATAGGACGGGGTGGTGAACTTATGGCATGCATGCCACAGCAGACTGTTTGTATTATTGAAAGCTCTAAGAGGCTCACCATCACTGCTATAGAATAAATGCATTTCCCATTGGCTTGAAGTAAATTTCCAGCTCTGGCACTGACTAGCTATGTGTCTTGAGCAAGTAACTAATTTCTTTAACCATCAAGTTAACTCGGCTATAAAATGGGAACACTGATACTTCCTTGCATAGTTGTTAAGAATTTGACATTGGTTATACAAAAGGACAGCCCAATACAGAATGGTGAACCGTGAAGGAAAGAGTATAGTGTTCTGGTTATGTATGCAGATCCTAAAGGCACACTGCCTAGGTCTGAATCCCAGTTCTGGAACTTAATAGCTTATGACTTGGGCAAGTTATTTAACCTCTCTATGCATACCTCATCTGTAAAATGGGCCTAACAGCAGTTATCTTACAATAGTTGTGAAGCTTAAATGAATAGATGTGAAGGGCTTAGAGTAATAACTGGGCTACTGATAAAATCTTAGTAACTGAAAATTTTATTATTAGCAGTATGTCGCTGTCCTATTCCTCGTCTATGTCAAAGTTAAACTTCAAATTGATTTAAATTTCATCTTTCCATTGTTTTGTCAGGTGTTACTCAAAAGAAGGTGGCAGAAAAACAGGATATTTGAACAACAGTCTCCAAAACAAGGTGAAAAAGCATTATAAAAATTCAATGATAAATTCAACAAGGTTTTATTGAATGCCATGGTTCACAAGGCAGCTAGATACATTATTGTCTCATTTGCTATATCTCATCAAATGGAAAAATTTCAGGTTATCATAGCTTTTGATAGCCCATTAACATACTTAATCTGTATATTTCCTAAATAATATGATTTTATGTCCACATGTTTTCCAAGCTGCTATTGGACACCTACTTGATCTGGGATAGGGATTGCTATTTAAGTCCAGGGATGTAACCTAACATGAGAATCAGGCTACAAGGAAACAAAACTAGGTTCATAAGAAAAATATTCTTATAAGAGCACAGACTGAAGGTAAAACACATGTCGGTAATAACTCATTCAAATCAGCAATGTAGATACAGGATTAAAATGGGACTCGCTTCTATGGCTTCATTTGCAAATCTGCAAACTAAGAAAAAGGATCATCTCAATTTCCAGGGCTAAGTCAATAAATTTATAAAGAATTTTTTTGGAAATGATTCTGTTGGTACATAACTAAATCAGATTTGAAAACCTACTTCAGCCTTCTTACTCCCCTCAAAAATAGAGTATTAACAGTGGTTTTGTAACAGGCTGTAGCATTTGCTGTAAGTTGATTGCTTAGAAGCAGCAATACCATGTTATAATATAGGTTTTCATCCAGTACATCAGATAAACAGATCACGTGCTTTGTAGACTATAAATAAACGTAAGAGAATATGGCAGTTAAGAATCTGGTTCCAATCAGAACAGAATTCCTTAAAATACTGACTTCCTTTAGATCATAATTGATCTTTTGGATGTGAGTGCTGGTCTCAAAAAAAGATCTGGGGTTAAAAGAGGAATAGGAAAAGGGGCTTACCCTGAGAAAAGCCAACACTAAACTTATTTTGAGAGGTAGAGAGCTTTCAAGGGTCTGCTTCTAAGTGATGTTAGAAAAATATACTTTAGCATCAAGATTCTTTACTTACACATGCTGAACGATTTCAGCTCAGAGTGATTATATTTTATTCATCTTTATATATTCAGAACCTAGCACGTGTCTGGCACTCATGCTGAAGGAAAAAGTTCTTATCTGTCCAAAGAAAAATTTCTATTAAAAGTAGCTAGAATAAAATCTTTACTGGTTCTACAGAAACTACATGAATTCTACTTCCCCAAATCTCGACAATCTATAGTTTCTTACTTTGTTTCTTCACATACATACATATATATATATATTCACACACACACACACATATATGGAGAGAAAGAGAGTTTTTTGAGACAGGGTCTCCCTATGAAGTTCAGGCTGCCCTTGAACCAAAATATATTTTTAAATTATTTACATGATAAAAAGAATACCCACTGTCAAAAACATAGTATTGGGAATAAAAGAACTGATCTGATTTAATATTAAATCTTTCTCAGATTGTTAAATGGAATCTCCCATTCCAATCATGATGCTTGCCATATCCTTTGGCTGTCTTTCAGTTTTGGTCTTTCTTCGAAGTCCAAGAGAGAAGATGGAAATGTACTGAAATAAAAAAGATAATTTTGTGGGCATTCATCTAGTAGAAAAATTCATAAGAGGAATGAGACAAAAAGGTACGTCTGCCACAGTCTAAGTTTAATTAAAGTAAATTAGTTCACCTCTCTGAGCCTTGATTTTCTCACCTCTAAGATAGGCATCGTAGAATCTTTCTCATTCTCTTTTATCTTCAATATCCTGTACTTGACTCTCAATGGATGCATAAGCTGAGATAATAATCAGACATTTTGATGGAGGTTGATCACTCTGTCCTTACTCCACGTCTACATATGGGTCAGAAGCTCAGAGAGCTGAGCTTTAATATTGCCCAAGTAAAATCTTGATCTTGGCTGGAGCAATGTCTGTATGTGATTTAATAATTTAAACAATATCTACGTTTAAATGCCATAGAATATTTTTAACAAAGGCTGTACAATGGAATCACTCGAAGAAAGTTATTTTAGTGCTACCTGAATCTCAGACCCACAGATCCTCATTTGGCCTGAGGTGCAGACTGGGCATAAAGAGTTTTACAAGAAATTAATGTGATACTAACCTGAAAAACGTGAGAACTATAAACACAAAATGGTGAATCTTTAACTTTAGCATGAATCAGTACCAAGAGGAATTTTTAAAAGGACTACTGGGTGCCACATGTAATGTTTCTTATTCAGTATGTCTAGGATGGAACCAAAGAATTTGCTTTTCTAACGAGTTCCCAGATAATGCTGATGTTATTATCCAGAGACCTCACTTTGAGAACCACTGGTACTAATAGTAGCACCTGAAACCCTGAGTTTAAATTTTGATTCTACTGTTACCACCTATAGAATCTTAGGAAAGTAATTTACTCTCTAATCTTTAATCTCTATAACAATGCTTAGATCTTAGAGTGATGATACATGTACAAACAGCATACCAATCAGAGTTTGGTATAGGCCCTGATATAGAATACAATAACATAAAACTTTTTTCCATTATACATGGCTAGATGTTTCAGTTAAATCATGAAATCATTCACACAGAAGTTAAAACTTTGTAGGAAAAGGAAATAGAGATGATTGAAACAAAGACTATCTTATTAGAATTATATGTATTATACACAATGACAAATATAGAGAAAAGATTTAAATATAGGGTCTTGAAAATACCCATATTTAATTTTCAAAGCTTTCAACATTGTTTAGGTGGTAGAAATATTAGATTCAGTCTATAAATAACATGAGATATTTTATAACCTATGATGGATTCTGGTATCTCACCTATTATAATTTTAGTTTTCCATATAATCAGTATAATGAATAGCATTTTTGCATAAGACTTTAAATGTTTGGTTTTTAAATGCTTTTTTTTTAGGTACTGGGGATAGAACTTGGGACCTTGTGCTTGTGAGACAGGCGGTGGCACCACTGAGCTAAATCCCCAGCCCTTTAAATGCTCTTTTATTTCCAAGAAAACCTAAATATAAGGGCAAAGAATCCCTAGTATCAACCAAAGCAAAAGCGTTCACCCATAATGGATTAGGTGTTTATTTTTCATATAAACAAAAAATTCTAAATAGTTTTCTATCCTACTTGTCACTTGCTCCGTTCTGTATATCACAAGTTCTTTCAGGAGTTAATGTCCAAGGCCTGAGGGGAATCCTGGGAGGTAAGCAGGCCCATGGTAGGTGCTGAACACAGCACCACATACAGGGAGGGCACTAGAGGTGAGGCTTCCAAAGAGGGGAGATGAAAACCAGAATACTATTGGTGTTTCACTGTGGAATCCACAATGAGTCAGGTTATCTAAATGAGTCTAGAAAAGTAACAAACAGTTTAGGTTGAAAGGCAAAAGGTATGCCAGGATTGTTAACAGCAAGGTTCTCCCTATACCAACAGCTGACCCAGAGGCAGGGATCCTTTTTAAAAATCTATCCCTTTCCGTTCTAGTCTGATGCCATTATATGACTGCTTTCCTTTTTTGAATTTCTACAAAATATGATGATGGTTATCTGTACATCTTTGTTCTACGTCATGCTCTGCATGGTAACATTTTTTTTCAATGGTTACTTAACTTGTTGATATATAATACTCTTAACATTTTGTCTATTCATGCAATCTCTTGTTAACTAGACTGTCAGCCCCTCAAGGGTCCTTAGCTTGTTCCCTTTCTCCATGGGATTTTCTGAACTGCCTCAAATTCTCAGTAACTTTTCTCTCTTAAGAGTCTGCAATATAAACTTAACACTAACTTACATTGCCTTACTTATATGACCAATTCTATCTTAAGCGTATTCTTCCCAACTGAATCAAAACACCCTGTAGGATGAAGGTTATGTATTTTACTTCTTTGTAAAAGAGTACTGACAAAGCTGACATCCAACCAGCATTTGTTAAATGATTGCAGTCTGTCCTTGCTAAAACTGGATATAATTGATTGTTTAAGGAAAAGTCCTCATAATCTTATGTCAAAATGATACAAAGCCTACAGTCTGGCCAGCTGTCTAAAGGCTGGAAATTAAAGCCAGAAATTAGCCTTGGTTTAGCTATCAACAGTGCTTTAAAATTAACTTGAATATCATACAAACAGGATAGTTTCCACTTCACCAATATCTTTGGTATTTCACAGCTTCCATTCATCTGTAATCTGCTCCCAGGCTTTCCCCAGGAAATACCCACTAACCAAAACTAATTTTCTCCCCTTCTCTGACAGTTTAACTTATTAAAAGCAGTTAAAAACAAAACAAAAACACTAGCAGTCCAGATCTTAACTAACTCAGAACAGAGCTGATTTTATGCCTTCTCTCAGGTTCTTCCTGTTATTAAAAACCAAAAACACTGAAAGCCTGAGAATGTTCAGGTAATACATAACTGAGGCATGATCTCTTGTCCTTCTAGAGTTGTCTAGTTGTGTTGGTTTGCCCCACTGCTAAAGCCCTCACCACAATCATCCCAGCTGACCCTTTAACAGCATTGTGGGATACCACAAAAATCACTATGGTAGCCCAAAGGTACTGGTACATCTTTAAATCCAAGTTATTATTTTTTTTTTCACAGACACACTGAAGCAGAGCTGTTTTATGACACTGTACCTCAATTTTACCATAGCTATCCTGAAAAGAAATATTGCTTTTCTGAGATTTTCAATTTGGCTGCTAATTTTGTTAATGCCTCTGACTGGGCATTCACTTTTTAAGTTCACTCTCTCATTTCCACTATATATGCTCTACAAATAGTTTTTTATGTTCTTCAGTTAAAATCAGTCCTTAGATCAGAAACCTAGAAACCACAGAGTAGCTTTCTTACCTCTTTAATTCTCCACAAGACATCAACATTATTCTATCCCATATGCACATGTATATATACTGTACACATGTACTGGCTTTTTTCAAAAAGTAAAAAGCTCTTCACAATATCCTGTGTCCAAACAGGCACCAAGGTATATAATTAGAAATTAAATAAAGGCCACAAACACTTCTCAAGGAAGATCATTAAAAGAAAAATCCCCTCTTCCTCACATGTCATACAGCTGGCTTCCAAGGCACGCCAGCTAAGAAAATAGGTATCACCCATGATGACAGGAAGACTGGACTTTCCCTCTTTGGGCAGTAGCTGAATTTCTACTGGCAGTCCTGCTGAAATATGTAACTCCTCACTTGTTCTAAGCAAGTCTTTCCTTCAGCTTTCCTACAAACAATACCTTTACTCTCCCATTAGAATATGAAGACTTGGGGATTTCGAACAGCAAAGTCTGTGGTAGGAATCATTCACTTTACATCATATGTTGGCTACACAGAGAGAAGGAAAGATACGGGAGACTGGCAGGGAAGGAAGGTGAGAGAAATGTTAAGTTCACTGGGAGATGGAAGAGAACAAGCCTTTCAAAGCTGTTGCCGGTAGTATCTCATGAAGGCCCAGGCTGCTACTATGGTGAAGGCAAACACTGGTAGCAGCACCATAGCTATGGGAACACCACTCGGCTCCCCTTCACCTCGATGGCCTGTAGGTCCATTCTGCACCTGTAACTGAAAGGGGAAAAAAAAATGTTAACTCTAGCTCTAAACCCCAGCAAGCACCTAGCAGGAGAAATTCTTTTTATGCTAGACATACTTCTTTCCACAGCACAGACTCTCTGCGAAGAAAATAGGTCTGACAGGGAGGCCTTTAACTTCGCTGTGCTACAGACCTAATGGGACAAGGGAGGGGCAAGTTTTCTGTTTCTGTACTGCCTGCACTTCGCTATGTGCTTCACATGGCAGGAAAATGAAAATATGAGATGAAACCTGCTGATCTTGTGGGGGACACAGATACTGCTGAGCAGGGGAAGGGAGATGAAGGGAGAGATCTCCTGAAAATGTGTGCTTACAAAGATTATCTGCCACCGGAACACAGTAAGAGCAGATCCAGGCAGTGTCAACTCAAACACGTGCCATTCTTTAGAAACACTTTCCAATTTTCGGAATGTACTCCCCACCTCCGAAGTAGAGGCTGGTCCTTCATGCCCTGATTTATAGTACCAGACAGAGAATCAGGCTCAGAGGTAAATAAGTGAAAACACTATATACCATCATCATCATTTTCTATTGCCTAAGTATTTCTTTTGAGGCTGGATTGCCTTTATTTTGGCCATTTTTACAGGGTGGGCCTTTTTAGTATCCATCTTTACTGGCTAACTTGCAATAATTATGGTGACATCTTGTTTCAGTTAGATATAACCTCCCTGCTATAATCTATTAAAGTCTGACTCTTCCATCTGAAGAGCAAGGTTCCACAAACTACCTTTTATCCTCTCTATACCACTGCTATGTCTTGCATATATTTCTTGATGAAATGTGCTGAGAAAATACGCCCAACAGGAAGATACAGTTTTTAGGCTGAGCCAAGCCCCCACCTACCCAAGTCTGTTTTACTATGAGTATTTTATGGAAGTTTCCCAAAGCGAACACTGCAAATCACTCCCTACATACCTTCAAAAAGAACCCTAACCATATCAGAAGTATGTGCCTATGTTTAACTTGCTTTTATCTATTACATACATTTTCCTATGGTTTAGAAACAGAGAAGAGCCAAGGCAGAAATAGCTGATGACTAATATTACCTCTTGTCAATCACACTCATATTCTGCTTACAATCCTGGCTTTTTTTTTTTTTTCAGATATCTTTCATGTTTGTCCTTCTCGGGTTTTTTTAGTAGCTCCTCTCAATCTTGAGTCTCTGAATCCTCACTCAGGTGCTGAGTAAGGCAAACAGTGCTCCAATTTAAGAAAGAGCAGCTGTAAAAAGGCACATCGAACCTGTGCTGTGAATATAAACTCAGAAATTCTCGGTGCTATAGGATGAATTAGGTCTACCTTACTTCCTTCCATCAGCCAAATGATAAAACACATTAGGAAATAAGAAGCAGACACAGGGATGGAAGCTGCCTTGACTAAATTCCAAATTTCATTTCCTTTTTCCTAGAGCTCCCTTTGAGCACTAGAGCTTTGGTCAAGAGGGTCACAAAATTGTTAAAGAGTTCATGGCAGTGACAGGAAAAACCACATAGCAGGGAGGCGAAAAACATACCATCTTTGCAGTATGCTTTGTAAGTTAGTTTTATAAATAAGAGTCATCAAGGGCAGGTATATGGGTCATTCCCTAACAAAAAGTAAAAATGATTCTACTTTTACTCATCTATTTAAATTTGATTATCAAGTTTTATCTTTGAAGAATATTATCTTGAAGGTATGACCTGGATTACAAGTAAATGGTTATGAATTTCCTTTAATAAGTACCAGAGAAGCCCCAAGGACAAGCTCTTCAAAGTAGTTACAGTAATAAACAAAACAAAACATGCCTATGGGTTTATTCGCAAACATGGCGGAAAAACCTGGTGCCAAGTATCTGGCTGCAAGTAACACCTACCCTGTGTTGCACTCTCAGGGACACTGCGTAGCCTGCATTACGGAAGAGGTTTACAGCATCCTGGTGTAGCAGGTTCTTTAAATCTTTGCCATTTACCTGTTAAAACAGCAAGGAAAAATAGTAAGAGAATCAGAGGGCTAACTCTCATAAGTCGACAATTTACTTTCATGTGGTCAAAACTTTAAAAAAAACAAACTCCTATGGCCAGGGATTTAGCTCAGTGGTTCCACCGTCTTGCAAGGACAAAGTCCGGAGTTCAATCCCTGATACCAAAAGAATTTTTTTAAAATAAAAAAACAATCGCTTCTCGGCCTTTTGGCTAAGATCAAGTGTAAAATAAAAAAACAAACCCCTCAGGGAAAATTCCAAAAGCCAGGATTATGGGCAAAGTTACTTAGAGTAACTTTTTTTGTTTTTTCAAAGTTATGTCTTTTTTAAAGCTGAGGTTCCATGGGCCATTTGAAGAAAAACCCAGGATAAGATAAAATACAGCAGTCTCTCCTTAGCTTCTATGCCTGTCTTAATTGGAATTCTGTCACTCTATTTGTATGTCTTCTGAGTTATCACCCTATCCTTTACTTTTTTTTTTTTTTTTTGTACCAGGGATTGAACTCAGGACCTTGTGCCTATGAGGCAGGTGCTGTGCCATTGCGCTAAATCCCTGGCTCAACATTCTTAATCACTGACATTGCCTCTTGAAACTCTAGAAACAATTATATGAAACTCGTCCTCAGTTTGTTTTGATACAGTGCAAATCTGTACTAGTCTATTCTGCTGGGCTTATTCTAGTATGAACAATTTCTCAACACTCTGTGTTACCTCTATTCACAAATTTACTAAAACTCATATTACTGTGATGACACAAACCTTTAAAACACATTGCAAAGTAGGTCGCTCGTTCCACTTATAAGTGAGAGACACAGAGTAATACTGGTATTAGTTTTTGGTATTAGGAATGGCCTGCCACAAGTGGTATCTGTTATGTGCTGTACACAGTGGCAAAGCATAGCCCACTTGGTGCAAAATTACATAGCTTTTACATGTGTTAGTGATACCAACAGCAGTGAGAACATTTAATATATTTATTTTGATAGGTCCTGTGCTTTATATACACTATCTCATTTAAACCTCACAATAACCCTATAAGGTAAATACTATTCTTATATTGTTTTCATTGAAGAAATGGATACTTAGGGAGACCAATGAGTGTAGGAACTAGGGTCAGGGTTTAAATAATGCAAAGTACCCTTGCATTTCCCTATTCCTTCCACACTATTATTCCTTCACTTTGACTCACCAACTATACTCTGTTCAGCTGAAACTCAAGTCATTGACTTTTTTTAACCTTCTCATCTTCCTTCTACTTGTCTTTTTCTAGGAGGTTCATAATGTTCCTTCTATCTCCTATGAAGATCTTTGGCGAAAACATCTATTCTCTTACCTTGTACACCATTTATTCTCAAATTAATAGCTTCCAGCTCCATTCCACTTTAGTTACCAACTGGCTGACATAAATTTAGATTTTAATATTAGATGTGTTTCAGCTCCAACATCTCACTCTTTAAAAAATGATAATGTCTTTTTATATGTCCTATTCCTTTATTAGATTTCTCCTTTATACTCATCAAAACCTTGAGATTTGCTAACTTCCAGTTGGAACTCTGTATTTGGATAGTCCACTAGATAACATATTTAAAACCTCTTTATAATTCTGAAAAAACTAGAATATTCTGACTTTTTAAAAAAAATTACCAATACCATTCCTTTAGACTTAAATTTTGATGATATTTTAAACAGTGTGCTCTGTTACTCTTCACATATAACATGGTGCAAAAAACAGTGTCTTAAAAACATGATTATCTCTTCTTTCTTATGACCCTGATTTTAGATACTGAAGGTATAGTCTTTTGGATACTCTTATTGAACTACTGTAATTGTCTTCTTTCCAACTGACTTTCTACTAGGTCCCCTCATTCTAACCTATCCAAACTCTATGCCTCCAGATCAACATCCCTATAGTACAGATCTGTTTGTGTCATATTACTATTTAAGACACAAAAAATCAAACTAGGGAATAAAGAGTGCATGGCTTGACTTCTCACACTGGTAGGTAAAGACCTCTACTTTCTCAGTTAAATTTCTCACTATTCCCTTTCATTTTGCATACATTCTAGCTATGTTGCATAGCTCACTGAACCTGAGCCTACAATATATTCTTACATTTGTCCTTGTGCTCAAGCTATGTCCATCACCTAAATGCCATTCCCTTTTCAAATTTCTATTTATCTTCCAAGTTGGTCATAAAAAGGATCAGTCCTGCTATCTACAGTACAGAACTAGTGGACTTTTTTAGCTGACAGACTTTGAACTTCATGTTAAGCCATCCTCTGATTATGCCTTGGTTTTCTTCGTACTATGCCATAAGGGAAGAACTTCACAATGAATACTCAATGAATCAATTTTCTAATTAACCCCTAGAAGAAAGAATAGCTGTGAAATTACTGACTGTAGTGAAACTGTTCACGTATGTTACCTAGCCCATGTGTTAAGTGTTACTTCTCATTTTAAAAAAATAGCTATCTTCTACTAGAAGCATACAAACACATTAATGAGTTGTTTAATACTCTCATCTTCCTTGTCATAACCGTTTTTTTCCAGGAGGTTCATAACGTTCCCCCACCTCCTACTAGGATCTTTGATAAATACATCTATCAATACTCTTACCTTATAGACCATCTATTCTCAAATTAATAGTTTCCAGCTCTACTCCGCTTTGGAAAATATACCAAATGATATCACAGCTCTATGTCTCAGTCATCAGTACCAAAATTTTATGGTAATATGAATGTAACTGGGTCATTCCATGACATTTATGGCAGGAATACTGAGCTTAAAATAATCTTTACCACAGTGTTCAATAATAACCCCAGGAAATATTTAATATGCACAGTATTTTCACATCTGGAACTGTTTATTCATTCTATGTATATTAACTCATTTAGACTTCATAAAGTTGTACATTAAATTTTATTAGCCTTGTTGTTTTGCTTTTATTTAATGGTTTATAAATTTGAAAGTTTTAGATAAAATTATAAATTTGTAGGTGGATAAAAGCATAAGTTGCTTAGATATTAGTATTTTATTCATTTTTATACATCAAAGTAGCATTAAAACCAAAAATGCAATTTAGTTAAATGGCACTTTGTTGACATGGCTTTTCTAGAAACTGTGACTTCACTAAATGTATCTGATTCACTTCTTTCAATCTCTACACTATGCACTACTCTTAAAGCTCAAATTCAACTGCTGTATGTTATTCTACATTCTAATGTATGTAACATGAAGAGGCTGTTATCTCAATTCACCATTATCACCCTTATAATCTCCAAAGAGTATTTTATATAACATGTAAGAAAGGTCACATTCTTTCCTAAAGTTTGGCTGCAGAATGAATCCTGCAAAAGCTGTAACTATAGAAAGCCTGACTGACAAAAATCACCGAATTACACAGAGATGAGAAACATGGAGTCCAACAGCAGTTCTACCGGCCAAAGTTTCAGTGCGCTGGCCCACATCGGAGCCTCCTTTGGCTAACAAAGGAGAAAGACACTGGTGACAGCAGGCAAAAGATGTTACAACAGGAATAAGCCTATTAGGCCTCTTGACTTCTGTAGTTAAGCCTAAATACAGTATAACTACTCATAGAAAGGCAAAGGAAATTTCTTTTTAAAAATAAAACATTTCAGACTGGGGATTTGGCTAAGTGTTTCTGCTGCCTGCTTCACAAGCACAAGGGCCTGAGTTTGATCCCCGATACCAAAATAATCATAATAACAACAATAAGAATAAGAAAATACATAAATAAAAAATAAAACATTTCATATCCTTGGCCTAAGATAAACCAGCCCCATAAAACAAATCATCATTATGACTCTTCCTCTTGATAATGTCACTTAGTAAGAAAGACGTTAAGGGCCTGGGATTTAGCTCAGCGGTTTGGTGGCCTGCCTCGCAAGCTCAAGGACCCAAGTTCGATCCCCAGTACCAAAAAAAAAAAAAAAAAAAAAAGACGTTAAAATAAATCTTTAAAGATTAGAACCCTTGTTTTTTTGTTTTTGTTTTTTTAAGAAATAAACAATTCTCCAGCTTCCTCATGCAGAGAGCAGAAACTATTACAACCTAACCTTGGTACCAAGGAGGTACCAACATTTCCTTGGTCCCTCTGGTGAGCCAAACCTTGCTAAATTCAGGCACACACATTTCCTGGCCTTTGTTCTACCCCTTCTATAAATTGGAACACTTCTGTGAGATCCAGAGGAGTGGACTATCTGCTCTCCCAATATAGCCAAATTGTGAATAAGCTCATTTTTCCATTTTTCTCATACTCTTGATTAACAAGCAGGCAATCAAATCCAGGTAGTTGTGGCCCAGATTCAGGACTCTGACTGAGTGTTCCAGGTAATAATTTCTACTCCACAGTTTAATTTGCTTTCCAGTATTTACCTCCTCTAAGGATTTTACAGATTCCAGTTGTCTATGGATTATTAACTTCTGTACATTTTATCCCTAAATATTAGTGGAATTCACTCTTTATCACCATCCATCCTACCAGAGACAGTAGCTGTCAACCTCTAAGTTTTTGTAAAGTTGAGCTAGTTCTAATCTACGCCACCTCAAACAGTCTTCTAGCTGGTTTCCACTCCCAGGCTATTTATTCTATTTAATACATATTCTATGCACCTACAGATTTCACTGGTGATTTTCCATTGGTGCTTTTTCAAATATGCATCTACTGACCCATTAGAAGACTATGAAATAGAGTCAGTGGGTCAGCAAAAGTATTTTTAAAAAGTGAAATCAGGGGCCAGGAATTTAGTTCAGTGGTTCTGCTGCCTGCCTTGCAAGTGCAAGGGTCTGAGTTCAATCCCCAGAACCAAAAAGAAAAAAAAAGAAAAAAGAAAAAAGTGAAATCAGAAGAAAACACAAAAACATCAAAATTCATCACATACAGAAAAATATTTTCTTTCAAAT